TAATCGTCCCAAACATTCGGAGGCAACTGTTGTACCAAATAACCATTTTCGTGTCGTGACACCTTTAGTTTCCCGTTTTGTAACTAATTCTGTCAAAAATAACAAGTCATACGTGTAAGTGCGCAGGAATCTAAAATGAAGCAAATCTCGAAGCATGAATTAGAAAATTTTTTTTAAAAGCTAAATTTACGCTAAAATTTATTATTAGATATCAACTATTTAATAATAGGTTACATGATATTTATTTAGCTATGTATTTATAACAGAAAAAGTTACTACAATCCTTGAATATTGATATCAAAAATTACATAAAAAATGAATAAATCAATCAATTTTTGGTAATTTTGCATTTATCAAATTCTCAGTAAATTCCCAAAGCCTTTTAGCCAAATCATCATCTTTAGCCAATGAAGATCGTTCACTTTCATCACCAAATGGTTCAAAATACTTTCCACGATAATTTTTTTCTTCAATTTCTGGACTTGTAGCACAATACAAGGTAGTAATAGCTCCATCATCAGCTGAGATTGTAGTAGAAAGAAAAGTTTCTGGAGCAGATACATCATTCCTTTTTGACATGTCTGTATCCACGATTCCTGAATAATATTAATTGATTAATTAAGTGGTTAATTAATATAGTTGTTTTAATTAAACTTAAAAAATATTTTATTATTACCTGGATGAACAGAGTTAGCATATACTTGTTCGCCTTCAAGATATCGTTTATTCAATTCGTTAGTAAATAAAATATTTGCAAGTTTTGATTGAGCATAACGAGGCATTGAATCAAATGCATTTGGGTCATTTAATTTCTCGAATTCAATTCCTCCCTCAGGAACTAATTGATGAGCATGACTACTAAGATTTACTATACGTGCTGGTTGAGAGGCTTTAATTTTTGGCAACAATAATTTGGTGAAAAGCTATCAATACGAAAAGTTTTGTTATGAATTTTTTATTTTAATAATGTAATAATTTATTTGTTTGTTTATTTTTTACTTACAAAGTGACCGACATGATTTACTCCAAATTCTTCTTGAATACCATCCTCAGTAAGCGAAAATGCTCTATTTTATTTTATTTTACTCATTATTTGTTCGAATATTATTATAGTTACAAGTGAAACTTCAAGTGAAAATATAACACTGTTACTTACGTTGTAGTGACTCCCGCATTGTTAATTCTGATAAAAATGATCAATCAATTAGGATAAATTTGCAACTTTTAACTAGTGTATAATAATCATAAATAATAGAACTTACAGAATGTGCAATGGTAAATTTCTAGCCAAAAATTTATCGGCGCATTCTTTAATAGATTTCAAACTTTTTAAATCCAACTGCAAAAATTCAATATTTCGATTACCAGTCTCGGATTTGATTTTTTCAACTGCTGTCTGACCTCTCTCGATATTACGACTTAATACGAACACATGTGCATTTTTTTTGGCCAATTCTCTGCACGTAATATATCCTATTCCAGCATTTCCTCCCGTAACGACCGTAACCTAGTTATAATAGATAGATGAAAAATTTTTGAGTAGGTCGATATGTTATATATTTTAATTAACCGAATGATAATAATCTAACTACTTTTCCAGTCAAATCGGGAATGTCATCAAAAGTAAAATGGTTGTTTTTTTTATCAAATTGCTTAACAATTAAATCTAAATCCGCCATTTTTTGAGAAATCAATCGAGTATAAAGAAGGCATATTTATAAGTTTTCTCTAATTTTAACTAAAGGTTAAATCGCAGTAATTTGGGTAATTATCCAGTTTATAAATAAAGTTCCGCGGATTTAGATAATTTAGCCGATGAGTTGCCAACAATTTGCTTTAATGAGTAACACAACTTCGGATATAATATGCTTA